GGCTATCGACTAGCCAAAGGTCTAGTCAACGACCACTGATAACTACAACCTCACTTTCGGAACCCCTTCCCCACCGAAAAAATATTAACGCGCACCTTCCGAAGTCGAATGGACAAATGGCTCGATCCTTCGCGCGGGCCCCTTATATAGCGGCAGCCGGGCGAAGATCGGCGAAAATTTCCGAACTTTACCGATTCCTTTAAAAGTTACTTTTCCGCTGTAATAACTAATAATTTATTAACTTTTTTGACTTTTATCGTTAATATACGTTGCAAACTATTTGTTATCGACAATTTTAATTTGTTATTAACAATAAATTTATTAATTTATTAACTTCTTATAAGTTCCGAATATATTCTAACACAAATACTTTGTTTGTTTAAGTAGTAGCTAGTAATTTATTAACTTTTTTGACTTTTATCGTTAATATACGTTGCAAACTATTTGTTATCAGGGATTTTAATTTATTATTAACAATAAATTTATTAATTTATTAACTTCTTGTAAGTTCCGAATATATTCTAACACAAATACATCGTTTATTTAAGTAGTAGACAATAATTTATTAATTTTTTCACTTTTATTATAGATATACAAGTTGCAAGCATATGTTATTAATATTAATTTGTTATAAACAATCAGTGTAATAATTTATAAACTTTTTGCAAATTATATTTACATTTTGACACAAATTAATTCCAAGTTCAAGTAATAGCCAATAATTCCTTAATGTTTTCACTTTTATTATAAATTTACGTTGTGAACAATTTGTTATTAACATTAATAATTTGTTACTAACGATAAGTATTATAATTTACGTGTAATTATTACTCGGAGTGTTCGAACTGATGCCAATAATACTATTGGTTTTTCACTAATTACAATCTTCTATGCAATTAATTAATCTTCTACGCAATCGCTAATACGGTCTTGTTTCCTTTTTTAATTTGGAGGTCCAGCAGGTTAGGAGCAAAATTTTGGGTCAGACAAATAACCATGAGCTGATTTGCTTTTACCATTAAACTTTTTATTTAATGTCGCAGATTCTTCTTCATCTTCCTCTGCTTCTTCATTAAATGATTGAAAAGATTGAAATGTCTGTAACAAAACTTTTCATTGTAAAGAATAATACTATCAGGGTTAAATTCTGCAAACATATTGATTTTTACTTTACTGCTGCTGCTTCAGTTTTTGAACTGTCCTTTACTTCTTCACTTTCCTGTACTATTATCCTTGGTGGAATATCAGAAAATGGATTGTTCAATATTATAATTTTTATCAATCTCGGAGGATAAACTGGTCTATCATTCTACAAAAAAAAGGAAATATTACATTTATATTAATTCTTGATATGTTTTATTATAAACATTAAATTTACCTCATCTACAAGTGCTTCTTCAAGTTCAAGCATGTTATATATAGTTTCTCCCGTAACCTGACCAAAGATTGTATGTTTATTTTGCAAATCCAATTGAGAATCAAGAGTTAAGAAGAATTAGGAACCATTGTCATCTTCTCTAGCATTAGCCATAGCAATTAAACAGCGACCACAGGAACGTAATCTAAAACAAACTGAAAAAAAGTATTCAATTCAGTTAGAGAAAATTCCACTCTACACTGATGTATAAAACAAACCTAATCAAAAAGCCTAATTTTGAAGATAGATGTCAAAAATGTCTATTACGCGAACGATTTCACGGCTACTGACACATTCGGCACTATTTTTCGAAAACGCACTCCCAACACCGAAAAAAAGTAATCAATCCCTTTAGAGAAAATTCTCGTCCATACTCGTGGACGAAAAAATACGAATCTAAAAGCGTATTTTCGAAGATCGAATCCAAAAAAGGCAAATGCGCAGCACGATTTCACAGCCACTGACACGTTCGGCACTATTTTTGGAAAATGCACGCACGAAACCGAAAAAAAGTATTCAATCCCTTTAGAGAAAATTCTACTCTACCATGTTAGACGAAAAAATCCGAATCAAAAAGCCTAATTTCGAAGATCGAATCCAAAAAAGTCAATCGCGCAGCACGATCTGACAACCACTGATACGTTCGGCACTATTTCTCGAAAACGCACGCTCGAAACCGAAAAAAAATATCCAATCCAGTTAAGGAAAAAATCACTCTACGCGAATCAGTGGAAAAATCCGACTCAAAAAGAGTAATTCAAAAACTAGAAGCCAAAAAAGTAAATTGCGCAGCACAATCTGAGAGCCACTGACACTTTCGGCACTATTTCTCAAAAACGCACGCTCGAAACCGAAAAAAAATATCCAATCCCGTTAAGAAAAAAACCACTCTACGCGAATCAGTGGAAAAATCCGATTCAAAAAGAGTAATTCAAAAACTAGAAGCCAAAAAGGTAAATTGCGCAGCACAATCTGAGAGCCACTGACACTTTCGGCACTATTTCTCGAAAACGCCCTCTCGAAACCGAAAAAAAATATCCAATCCCGTTAAGGAAAAAATCACTCTACGCGAATTAGTGGAAA